CCCCCTCTGACACATGTGACTGTTCTCCCCCTCTGACACATGTGACTTTTCTCCCCCTCTCCTCTGACACATGTGACTGTTCTCCCCCCTCTCCTCTGACACATGTGACTGTTCTCCCCCTCTCCTCTGACACATGTGACTGTTCTCCCCCTCTCCTCTGACACATGTGACTGTTCTCCCCCCTCTGACACATGTGACTGTTCTCCCCCTCTCCTCTGACACATGTGACTGTTCTCCCCCTCTGACACATGTGACTGTTCTCCCCCTCTGACACATGTGACTTTTCTCCCCCTCTCCTCTGACACATGTGACTGTTCTCCCCCTCTGACACATGTGACTTTTCTCCCCCTCTGACACATGTGACTGTTCTCCCCCTCTGACACATGTGACTGTTCTCCCCCTCTGACACATGTGACTTTTCTCCCCCTCTGACACATGTGACTTTTCTCCCCCTCTGACACATGTGACTTTTCTCCCCCTCTGACACATGTGACTGTTCTCCCCCTCTGACACATGTGACTGTTCTCCCCCTCTGACACATGTGACTGTTCTCCCCCTCACCTCTGACACATGTGACTGTTCTCCCCCTCTGACACATGTGACTTTTCTCCCCCTCTCCTCTGACACATGTGACTGTTCTCCCCCTCTCCTCTGACACATGTGACTGTTCTCCCCCTCTGACACATGTGACTTTTCTCCCCCTCTCCTCTGACACATGTGACTGTTCTCCCCCTCTGACACATGTGACTGTTCTCCCCCTCACCTCTGACACATGTGACTGTTCTCCCCCTCTCCTCTGACACATGTGACTGTTCTCCCCCTCTCCTCTGACACATGTGACTGTTCTCCCCCTCTGACACATGTGACTGTTCTCCCCCTCTGACACATGTGACTGTTCTCCCCCCTCTGACACATGTGACTGTTCTCCCCCTCTGACACATGTGACTGTTCTCCCCCTCTGACACATGTGACTGTTCTCCCTCTCTGACACATGTGACTGTTCTCCCCCTCTGACACATGTGACTGTTCTCCCCCTCTGACACATGTGACTGTTCTCCCCCTCTCCTCTGACACATGTGACTGTTCTCCCCCTCTCCTCTGACACATGTGACTGTTCTCCCCCTCTCCTCTGACACATGTGACTGTTCTCCCCCTCTGACACATGTGACTTTTCTCCCCCTCTCCTCTGACACATGTGACTGTTCTCCCCCTCTCCTCTGACACATGTGACTGTTCTCCCCCTCTCCTCTGACACATGTGACTGTTCTCCCCCTCTCCTCTGACACATGTGACTTTTCTCCCCCTCTGACACATGTGACTGTTCTCCCCCTCTGACACATGTGACTTTTCTCCCCTCTCCTCTGACACATGTGACTGTTCTCCCCCTCTCCTCTGACACATGTGACTTTTCTCCCCCTCTGACACATGTGACTTTTCTCCCCCTCTGACACATGTGACTTTTCTCCCCCTCTGACACATGTGACTTTTCTCCCCCTCTGACACATGTGACTTTTCTCCCCCTCTGACACATGTGACTGTTCTCCCCCTCTGACACATGTGACTGTTCTCCCCCTCTGACACATGTGACTTTTCTCCCCCTCTGACACATGTGACTTTTCTCCCCCCTCTGACACATGTGACTGTTCTCCCCCTCTGACACATGTGACTTTTCTCCCCCTCTGACACATGTGACTTTTCTCCCCCTCTGACAAATGTGACTTTTCTCCCCCTCTGACACATGTGACTTTTCTCCCCCTCTGACACATGTGACTTTTCTCCCCCCTCTGACACATGTGACTTTTCTCCCCCTCTGACACATGTGACTGTTCTCCCCCACCTCTGACACATGTGACTGTTCTCCCCTCTCCTCTGACACATGTGACTTTTCTCCCCCTCTGACACATGTGACTGTTCTCCCCCTCTCCTCTGACACATGTGACTTTTCTCCCCCTCTGACACATGTGACTTTTCTCCCCCTCTCCTCTGACACATGTGACTGTTCTCCCCCTCTGACACATGTGACTGTTCTCCCCCTCTCCTCTGACACATGTGACTGTTCTCCCCCTCTCCTCTGACACATGTGACTGTTCTCCCCCTCACCTCTGACACATGTGACTGTTCTCCCCCTCTGACACATGTGACTGTTCTCCCCCTCTGACACATGTGACTGTTCTCCCCCTCACCTCTGACACATGTGACTGTTCTCCCCCTCTCCTCTGACACATGTGACTGTTCTCCCCCTCTGACACATGTGACTGTTCTCCCCCTCTGACACATGTGACTGTTCTCCCCCTCTGACACATGTGACTGTTCTCCCCCTCTGACACATGTGACTGTTCTCCCCCTCTCCTCTGACACATGTGACTTTTCTCCCCCTCTCCTCTGACACATGTGACTGTTCTCCCCCTCTCCTCTGACACATGTGACTGTTCTCCCCCTCTCTGAAACATGTGACTGTTCTCCCCCTCTCCTCTGACACATGTGACTGTTCTCCCCCTCTGACACATGTGACTGTTCTCCCCCTCTCCTCTGACACATGTGACTGTTCTCCCCCTCTGACACATGTGACTGTTCTCCCCCTCTGACACATGTGACTTTTCTCCCCCTCTCCTCTGACACATGTGACTGTTCTCCCCCTCTGACACATGTGACTGTTCTCCCCCTCTGACACATGTGACTGTTCTCCCCCTCTGACACATGTGACTGTTCTCCCCCTCTGACACATGTGACTGTTCTCCCCCTCTCCTCTGACACATGTGACTGTTCTCCCCTCTCCTCTGACACATGTGACTGTTCTCCCCCTCTCCTCTGACACATGTGACTTTTCTCCCCCTCTCCTCTGACACATGTGACTGTTCTCCCCCTCTCCTCTGACACATGTGACTGTTCTCCCCCTCTCCTCTGACACATGTGACTGTTCTCCCCCTCTCCTCTGACACATGTGACTGTTCTCCCCCTCTCCTCTGACACATGTGACTGTTCTCCCCCTCTGACACATGTGACTGTTCCCCCTCTCCTCTGACACATGTGACTGTTCTCCCCCTCTGACACATGTGACTTTTCTCCCCCTCTGACACATGTGACTTTTCTCCCCCTCTCCTCTGACACATGTGACTGTTTCTCCCCCTCTGACACTGTGACTTTTCTCCCCCTCTCCTCTGACACATGTGACTTTTCTCCCCCTCTCCTCTGACACATGTGACTTTTCTCCCCCTCTGACACATGTGACTGTTCTCCCCCCTCTCTGACACATGTGACTGTTGTTCTCCCCCTCTGACACATGTGACTGTTCTCCCCCTCTCTGACTCACATGTGACTGTTCTCCCCCTCTCCTCTGACACATGTGACTGTTCTCCCCCTCCTCTGACACATGTGACTGTTCTCCCCCTCTCCTCTGACACATGTGACTGTTCTCCCCCTCTGACACATGTGACTGTTCTCCCCCTCTCCTCTGACACATGTGACTGTTCTCCCCCTCTGACACATGTGACTGTTCTCTCCCCCTCTGACACATGTGACTGTTCTCCCCCTCTCCTCTGACACATGTGACTGTTCTCCCCCCTCTGACACATGTGACTGTTCTCCCCTCTCCTCTGACACATGTGACTGTTCTCCCCCTCCTCTGACACATGTGACTGTTCTCCCCCTCTCCTCTGACACATGTGACTGTTCTCCCCCTCTCTGACACATGTGACTGTTCTCCCCTCTGACACATGTGACTGTTCTCCCCCTCTGACACATGTGACTGTTTCTCCCCCTCTCCTCTGACACATGTGACTGTTCTCCCCCTCCTCTGACACATGTGACTGTTCTCCCCCTCTGACACATGTGACTGTTCTCCCCCTCTGACACATGTGACTGTTCTCCCCCTCTGACACATGTGACTGTTCTCCCCCTCTGACACATGTGACTGTTCTCCCCCTCTGACACATGTGACTGTTCTCCCCCTCTGACACATGTGACTGTTCTCCCCCTCTGACACATGTGACTGTTCTCCCCCTCTGACACATGTGACTGTTTCTCCCCCTCTGACACATGTGACTTTTCTCCCCCTCTGACACATGTGACTGTTCTCCCCCTCTCCTCTGACACATGTGACTGTTCTCCCCCTCTGACACATGTGACTGTTCTCCCCCCTCTGACACATGTGACTTTTCTCCCCCCTCTGACACATGTGACTGTTCTCCCCCTCTGACACATGTGACTTTTCTCCCCCTCTGACACATGTGACTGTTCTCCCCCTCTCCTCTGACACATGTGACTGTTTCTCCCCCTCTCCTCTGACACATGTGACTTTTCTCCCCTCTGACACATGTGACTTTTCTCCCCCTCTCCTCGACACATGTGACTTTTCTCCCCTCTCTGACACATGTGACTTTTCTCCCCCTCTGACACATGTGACTGTTCTCCCCCTCTGACACATGTGACTGTTCTCCCCCTCTCCTCTGACACATGTGACTTTTCTCCCCCTCTGACACATGTGACTTTCTCCCCCTCTCTGACACATGTGACTTTTCTCCCCCTCTGACACATGTGACTGTTCTCCCCCTCTGACACATGTGACTGTTCTCCCCCTCTCCTCTGACACATGTGACTGTTCTCCCCTCTGACACATGTGACTGTTCTCCCCTCCCTCTGACACATGTGACTGTTCTCCCCCTCTCTCTGACACATGTGACTGTTCTCCCCCTCTCTGACACATGTGACTGTTCTCCCCCTCTCTCTGACACATGTGACTTTTCTCCCCCTCTCCTCTGACACATGTGACTGTTCTCCCCCTCCTCTGACACATGTGACTGTTCTCCCCCTCCTCTGACACATGTGACTGTTCTCCCCCTCTCTGACACATGTGACTGTTCTCCCCCTCTGACACATGTGACTGTTCTCCCCCTCTGACTGTGACTGTTCTCCCCTCACCTCTGACACATGTGACTGTTCTCCCCCTCTCCTCTGACACATGTGACTTTTCTCCCCCTCTGACACATGTGACTTTTCTCCCCCTCTGACACATGTGACTTTTCTCCCCCTCTGACACATGTGACTGTTCTCCCCCTCTCTCTGACACATGTGACTTTTCTCCCCTCCTCTGACACATGTGACTGTTCTCCCCCTCTCCTCTGACACATGTGACTTTTCTCCCCCTCTGACACATGTGACTTTTCTCCCCCTCTGACACATGTGACTTTTCTCCCCTCTGACACATGTGACTGTTCTCCCCCTCTGACACATGTGACTTTTCTCCCCCCTCTGACACATGTGACTGTTCTCCCCCTCTGACACATGTGACTTTTCTCCCCCCTCTGACACATGTGGTTCACTGTTCTCCCCCCTCTGACACATGTGACTGTTCTCCCCCCTCTGACACATGTGACTGTTCTCCCCCTCTGACACAATTTAACAAGTCGTCCTTTTGAATAAAATCAAATGCACAGTAAGAATTTACTTTGAGAACCACTGTAGCATAGCATGGCATGGCATGGCATGGCATAGGTAAAGAGTCTGTCCTGGAAAGTCTGAGTGGCGCCACCTGCAGGTGATAGCCAGATCCTGTCTGACCACTGAAGCTAAGCAGGGCAGGGCCTGGTTAGTGCTGTGATGGGAGACCTCTGTGAACAGCAGGTGCCACAGTGGGGCGGCTGCGGCTGTAAAGTGCCAAACTGTGGCTGTGTCCTTAGGCAAGACACTTCCCCCACATTAGAATGAGTCTGGTGTGTGTGTGAATGGTTGGTGGTGGTGGGAGGGGCCGATGGCAGTGTGCCCCAGGGCAGCTGTGGCTACAGTAGTTTATTACCACCGTGTTTGAAAGAATAATGATGTGAAGAGACTTTGAGCATCCTAAAAAGAGCTGAATGAAACTATTATAATAATAATTATTATTATTAAGCACTAATACGAGAGCAGGGCGCACGGTGGCTGAGTGGTTACATCTGGAGCTGGTCGGTTACTACGGCGACCAAAGTCTTCCCAGGATCTGTCTTTAAACTGTCTTTAAACTGTCTTTAAACTGTGTTTAAACTCACCATAAAGGCCAGGGTCAGGTCTCTCTCATGTTCTCCCAGGAACCACACGCTCTTCTCATCGTTAGGAACCAGGTCCAGGAACCGCATGTGCTTCTGCCAACTGCAAACCAGCACAACTGATGCTAACTGAAGCACAACTGAAGCACAACTGAAGCACAACTGATGCTAACTGAAGCACAACTGATGCTAACTGATGCTAACTGAAGCACAGATGATGCTAACTGAAGCACAACTGATGCTAACTGATGCTAACTGAAGCACAGATGATGCTAACTGAAGTATAGATGATGCTAACTGAAGCACAGATGATGCTAACTGAAGCACAGATGATGCTAACTGATGCTAACTGAAGTACAGATGGTGCTTACTGATGCTAACTGAAGTACTGATGATGCTAACTGATGCTAACTGAAGTACAGATGATGCTTACTGATGCTAACTGAAGCACAGATGATGCTAACTGATGCTAACTGAAGCACAGATGATGCTAACTGATGCTAACTGAACTACAGATGATGCTAACTGAAGTACAGATGATGCTAACTGAAGCACAGATGATGCTAACTGAAGTACAGATGATGCTAACTGAAGCACAGATGATGCTAACTGAAGTACAGATGATGCTAACTGAAGTACAGATGATGCTAACTGAAGTACAGATGATGCTAACTGAAGCACAGATGATGCTAACTGAAGTACAGATGATGCTAACTGAAGTACAGATGATGCTAACTGAAGTATAGATGATGCTAACTGAAGTACAGATGATGCTAACTGAAGTACAGATGATGCTAACTGAAGCACAGATGATGCTAACTGAAGTATAGATGATGCTAACTGAAGTACAGATGATGCTAACTGAAGCACAGATGATGCTAACTGAAGTACAGATGATGCTAACTGAAGTACAGATGATGCTAACTGAAGTACAGAGATGCTAACTGAAGTACAGATGATGCTAACTGAAGTACAGATGATGCTAACTGAAGACAGATGATGCTAACTGAAGTACAGATGATGCTAACTGAAGTACAGATGATGACTAACTGAAGTATAGATGATGCTAACTGAAGTATAGATGATGCTAACTGAAGTACAGATGATGCTAACTGAAGTACAGATGATGCTAACTGAAGCACAGATGATGCTAACTGAAGTACAGATGATGCTAACTGAAGTACAGATGATGCTAACTGAAGTATAGATGATGCTAACTGAAGTACAGATGATGCTAACTGAAGTATAGATGATGCTAACTGAAGTATAGATGATGCTAACTGAAGTATAGATGATGCTAACTGAAGTACAGATGATGCTAACTGAAGTACAGATGATGCTAACTGAAGTACAGATGATGCTAACTGAAGTATAGATGATGCTAACTGAAGTACAGATGATGCTAACTGAAGTACAGATGATGCTAACTGAAGTACAGATGATGCTAACTGAAGTACAGATGATGCTAACTGAAGTACAGATG